TGCAAGTCTAAATCCCATTGCCATTAACATGCTACAAATTAACAGTCACATGTTATATGTGGGCAGGAAAACTTGTAAAACTGTTGATAAGCTCATCACTTTTGTAGATTTGTTTTCCAGAGTGAACAAACACTAACCTCTAAGGGCTGGGCATGATAATGGTCTGTTGGATCCTTCAGTTCAGCAGCTTCTTTCATTAAACGTTTAACAGCTGAAATGAGAAAAAAACAATACATGAGTAAAAAAAAAAGGAACTAGAATGTACAGCTGAATAAATATTGATCCTACCCCTAAACAGTATTTTAAAAGCTTTTCAGAGTGCATATTTCTCTTTTCTAATGTTGTTTTCAAATGGGAGACATAAAAATTGGACATAGATCATATTAAGATGAGAAACTGAGGAATGTAGTCATTGAAAGGGGTCTAATAGCTTTGGACCTACTGAAAGAAAGAAGTTGGCAGCATGAGCTTTCATATATTTAAGTCTACTTCCTCAGATGCATTTGGTGAAGTGGAAAGCCAGGTACAGACCTATATATGCCATTAGTATGTGAGAATGTCAATTCAAATTCAAAATCCTTTGTGTACGGAAATGAAGTGGCAAATCCAGTTTTAACTACAGATGTTTGTGAACAAAGGCATAGGAAACCTTGTTGGTGGCTGTTCCTAGGTTCTGGAACTCCCTCTCTAGAGAGACTACACTGGCATCCTTTATTGTGTCCTTTTAGAGTCTAGAGGAAGGTGAATACTACAGACTTTTGGGAAATAATTGCTTTTAGTGTAGTATTGTCTGGAAAGGCAATGGCAAACCTCTTCTGTATAAATCTTGCCAAGAAAACACCAGGATGGGGTTGCCATAAGTTGGAGCAAACTTGAAAGCTCATGACGACAACAATAAGAAATGTCTGTATTTGTTATTATTGCTGGTTTTACAGGGTATGTTTTTAAAATTGCTTATAATTATTATTATTAATGTCCTAAAGATGTGTAATTTTATCTGTACCTACGTTATCTTGATTCCCAGGAGTGGGAAGAAGGTGGGCTGTAAAATAATAATAATATTAATGCAGGATTCTGTTGTTTTTGTTTCAATAGTCAAACAGCCAGCTGCACTGAAACAATGTCATGTGATCTGACCATGATGTATCTGTTTTATATAAATTTATTCTACATGTCTCCCTTAAGATAAAAGTAAAACATCCAAAGGCAGCAGAAGATTTTATGTGCTTTTAAAGGATCTGAGAGTCAAGCCTGGTTAGGAAGTGGACAGGAAACCCCTGGGATGTCCAGCTAGACAAGAATCTAGAAAGGAATCCTGCCTGAAGCCTTGGAAAACTATTGCTACCACTTAGTGTTGAAAATACTGGGCTACAGTGATCACTGGTTTACAAGATAACAAGGGTCAGGCCTGGTTAGTACAGCAAGTACTAGCAAAGGAATTCCATAGCTATATTTCAGAGGAAGGGAGCAGTCACCCACTTTCTTGAAGAAGAAAACCCTAAGAAATTCACAGATGTTGTTGTGTGCCTTTGATGTATGGTGACCCTAAGTCATTAATCATGGGTTTTCTTGGCAAGATTAGTTCAGAGGAGGTTTGCCCTTGCCTTCCCTTGAGGCTGAGAAAGTGTGACTTGCCCAAGGTCACCCAGTGGGTTTCCATGGCTGAGCTGGAATTTAAACCCTGGTTTCCAGAGTCCTAGTCCAACATTCAACCCACAACACCACACAGGCTCTCACAGGGTCAACCATAAATTGACGGGAGACTTGGCATATATGCGCGCGCACACACACATTATTTTTCTATCCTTTGAAATAAGAAGTAACACAATATGTATATATAAGGACAGACAGAATGGAAATGCATCAGGTCAAAAATCAGCTGCAGGTTGAAGCTAATCTTGCCAAGAAAACTCCATGAGAGTCATCATACGTTTAAACAACTAGAAGGCACACAACAACAATAATTAATTCCATAGGATGTTCTTAGGGAAGAAGGTGCTCCCTTCCTCGGAAATACAGCCTACAGCACATGGGATCCCTTTGATTTGTTCTGTTGGTGGTTGAGGTGTGCCTTCAAGTCATTTCTGACTCATGGCGACCCTAAAGCAAACCTTTCCTAGGGTTTCGGGGCTGAGGCTACAGAGCAGGGGGGTGCCCCAGTAAGTGACTTGGCCACAGGGTGACCAAATGTCCTCCTTTTCCAGGACATGCCCTACATTTCATCCTGCTGCCCAGGAAGAATTCCAAAATGTCCTCCATTCTGAGCATGTCTACGAAGCCAACCAAATAACACCACGTTTGCTGTTCCCCTTCGAGAAATGTGTCTATTTGGTAGCCTCTCCTCACTGCAAACAGGGGGATAGGATGAATCCTTCTAATTGCCTTTTTCCTAGAAGCTGCAGCAGAAGACAAAACCAGACAAAACCAGAGCTTAGGACACATTTGTTTCTTGGAGGGGAAAAGGCCAGCAATCATGTTAAGCAATGGGCTGCTTGAGGACACAATGCAAATGTTGAACCTTCATTTCTGAACAATGGATAAATGGAAGGAATAATTTAAATGTAGATCCAGAAAACTCCATTGCAGGGTCACCTGAGAGTCATTGTAAGTTGGAAATGACTTGAAAGCACACAACAACAACAAAGATTCAGTCAAGGGTTTGTTGGTAGTCAAGTACAATTTTATGCCTCACTCTTGCTTAGAGTACTATAAGTATATTCCAAGCCAACAAGGCATTTTAACAAAGACAAGTTCATCGGAAAAACACAGTTGAGTACATAAGAAAATACATTAGATGTAATATAGAGGGCCAAAATGGGGTTTTCTTGGCAAGTTTCTTCAGAGGGGTTTTTGCCATTGCCATCTTCTGAGGCTGAGAAAGCATGACTCACCCAAGGTCACCCAGTGGCTTTTCATGGCTGAGCAGGGATTCGAACCCTGGTCACGAGTTGTAGTTCAACACTCAAACCATGACACCATGCTTTTTTTGGCTGGATGTGTGTATAAGCATTATATACAGGTCCTTTGGATTGAGAAATGTATGGTAGGTGCAGAGATGGAAGTGCCAGAAAATCAGAGGCAGGGAAGGGAGGGGAATTGGGGGGAGCTGCTGGGGCAGCCCCTGGCACCACAGGCCAGATGTGTCCTCACTTCAAAGGAGGACAAGGCACCACAAAATGTAGGTCATTCAAGGGAAATGGAGGATATAACCAAAATACAAACTAAAAACTCCTAGAAATGTAAATCCATGCTTCTCAATCATGCCCAAAATGGAGGACACTTTGGAATGCCTCCTGGGCAGAAGGATAAAATGGAGGATATGTCTGGTCAGCCTGGACCGACCATGGCAAAATGCAATGACATTCAAGACAAATGGAGGACATGACCAAATAAAAGTGAAAAACACTCATAAAATCATAAATCAATGCTTCCTAGTCATGTTCAAAATGGAGGATATTTTAGAATCCCTCCTGGGCAGAAGGCTAAAATGGAGGACATGTCTGGTCAGCCTGGGCTGGATTCCTCATGGCAAAGAGCAGGACATTCAAGACAAATAGAGGACATGACCAAATAAAAGTGAAAAACACTCATATAATTATAAATCCATAATGCTTCTTAGTCGTGCATTTTGGAATTCCTCCTGGACAGAAGGCTGAAATGGAGGGCATGTCCTGGAAAAAGAGGACGCCTGGGTGAGGGCCACAGTTACCACAACCATTTTGAAGGACTGACTGTCACTAGACAAACTATAAACCTGCCCCTGTCTAACTCCTTTTCTATGCTGCCTCTACAGGGTGACCAGAGGTCCTCACCACAAAGGAGGACAAGGCACCGAAAATGGAGGGCATTCAGGGGGAAAATGGAGGGCATTCCCAAATACACGCTACAAACATTAACATAAATGTCAATTCAAGCTTCATCTTAGTCATGCCCAAAATGGAGGACATCTTGGAATTCCTCCTGGATAGAAGGTACAAGTCCTGGAAAAGGAGGACATTAGTCACTATGGGCCATGATAAAAAAACAAAACAATGGATGACCTAGAGCAGGTCACACTCTCTCAGCTTCAGAGAGTGGCAATACCAATTTTTTTTTTTTAAAAAAAAAACCTTCTGAAGAAACTTGC